TGTTTCTAGACAGATTAGAAACAGATTAAAAATTTATTATTTCCTTTTTGCTCTACATTTGATAAAAAATATAATAATGAATAGGGCAGTTTTTCAAATATTGGCATGTACTTTAGGATTTTAGAATTGTATAAACCTTTTTACGCCAGGTTCACTTTTTTTATGTTGTGCTTCCTTACCTTCAGATATTCTACCCATCGAACTCTGAGCTTATCCTGCTTCAGGATCACCTTCATCCTGCCCTGGCCTTTAGTTTTATTGTTATTCTGGTCAGACCTCAAAAATGAGATGACCATGGTTGACCGGCGAAGCTTATAAACTATCCGGTCATCTCTGAGATCCCCTCTAACACCCCTGCCCCGTGGGATAGTTCCCTGACAGCCTTCCCTTACTGGTCTCTGTAACTTGTTGAGCTTCCCCAGAGACGATCCCTTCTCTGCTTTCAGCAGCTTCCATTGTCAGTAAAAACCAAAGTAGCTTCTCCAAACCAAGTACATATTGAAGATTCTAAGAACTAGACTCTATGTAGTCCCTGAGCTCTTTTCAGTTATTGTAGTTGTTTGGGTTTCTTAAGTTAGACCCATAGAGACATTTACCCCTGTCCAAATAATGCCTGAAAATGGAATAGAAACTGTCATATAAAATATACATTATAAAATGTTTTCTCTAGTGTATCATCATTTGGGACAACGATTCAGAAATTTTCTAGTCTAGAAACTTTAACAAAATTTTGCATTATTTAGGTTACAAAAGTATCTAAATAATTATATTTAGGTTTTAACTAGTTTTATACTAATGTTCATAGCTTGGAAAATATTACCTTAAAACACATGAAAAATATTTCCTTATAATCAGCTGTATTTATTCTGTGCATATTCTAGTTAATTTCTATGTTGCTGTTGTTTTTAAACTTTTGCAGGAGGCTTACTTAACTAGGTCTTAGAGGGAAGGCATCAATTGCTGCTGCAAAAGTTGACTTCATTTACTTAGAAATGATTGCAGTGCTCATGGCCAGCAGTTTAAATTAGTAACAGTGTTTTCTGAGGAGCACAGAGGTAGGTTCAGAATTCTTCTCAGCACAATGTTTCCAAGGCAGCCACTACTCGCTCATTAACATTGGCATGAGAAAGGAAACCAGCCTATCTCTGGTGAGATGCTGGTTATGTTTTCAGGGACCCAGTGCCTGCAAGGCAGAGTAATTGCCACTAGATGGCAGTAGTGCTATGTCAGGAGGGTCCTCAAAGCCCAGATCGCAAACTGTTCCATTTGAGGCTTTTACAAATTTAAATATGCCAGAAAGTCTTTAACCACACAAAACAGCTATTGACTTACCTTCCCAGTTCAACTGGTGAAAATTTTTCTCTATACCCTTGGATATTATTTTCAAAAACTAAAAATCTAAGAAGAGAGTATAAGGGCACACTTGTTGCCAGGCGCAATTTTTGTCTTCCATGTCTGGAGTATCACATTCCCCTGCAGTGTTGTCTTCCACGTTATTCCAGGAAGATGCTTAAGCTAATTCTCATTTCTTTTTTTTCTCTTGACATCATATTTAATTTTTCTGAGCCTTAGTTTTCCTCATTTACAAAGAGGTTTAAATATAGACACCCTAGGAGTGTTGTTTAGAGGTTAAAAGTGATATATCTAAAATCGATGTGTTATGACATGGATTTTTAAGCATTTCAATAGCATTATTGCGAAATATTTGCTATTACAGGTACACTATATATTTTTAAAACTATAAGACAAAGTTTAGCAACTACCTTTCCTTTATTTTTTGTTAATTAAATGGAAAATTTCACCAATGGCCCCTCAATACTTACTATTCTTTCCCCATGTTGTCTCCCAAATTCAGCGGTCCGGCTCCCCTCAAAGTGCTGACCTTTCCAACATTTTGCTCTTTGGGGTCCTTTGAACCTCTGACAGCTCATTTCTTGGATGTAGCATGTCAGTGCTTATGAGGCTACTAGTTATTATTTTCTAGACTGAGTTTTAATATTTAGGTATAAAACTATTTTTCCCTCCTTTGTACTATCAGAGTACTATATCTTAACCATATTATTTTATTGGTTTGCACATACATCTTCCCCCTTGACTTTATGCTTATTAAAAAATATCTCCAAGTCTTAAGCATATAGTAGGCACTCTACATTTGTTACATATATTTGGTATCACAGTTTGGTAACAAAACACTATTCCATTGAAGAGAAAAACAATTTAATAGGTTACCTTGTGGCCTTAATGTTACTCTGTTGTTATAACTCTTCATCAGTTTGAGATGTTATACCCTAATTGGAACTGTAAGTACTCATGAATAAATTTAAATGATTGTGAATTTCAGAGAGAGTGTTTCCATTTCATATGCCTCAGTCTCCTTTTCTCTTTACCAACACTGTAATCAAGGCACAGGATCTTATTTAAGCTAACAAATTATTATCCTTCATTATATAAGTAGTGTGTAACTTGACCTTAAAAGGCTGCTGAACTTCACAAGATGGCAATGAATCTAGCCACCAGCTGTGTCTACTTTCACAATACCTTTGAATAGAAGCTGATTTTGCAAGAGGCTGGGGAATCATTGCCTCACCCTTCCCTCTCTGATCTGGAATGTATCGGTGTTTTCAGGCCGGAGAACTGCATCGTCTCGCACAAAATCTGATTCCTCTTGGGTTTAAAAAGCATTTGAAATCTGTGCTTTGTGTTCACAAACCACAAGCTGTGTAAACATAGAGTTTCTGAGATGTACTCCTGTAATGTCCTATGTACTGACTACTGATCTCGTTTCTGAGTATTACTAAAAACTGGATGAAAACAAAACCTGAACAATAAGAGGGATGGATAACATAGGTGAGGTTGTTGGGAAATGGGTAATGTATTTTAAATATTATAGGTAATACAAACAGACTAAAGTGATTTTTAAAACTCTAAGATTTCAGTGACTATTTCTTTGAACTTGGAGTGGCTAAGGACTACTTAAGCATGAAAACAATGGAAAGATCACCAAGAGAAATTAATGTTAGGTTTATATTATATGCAAATTAAAAAGCTTCAGGGTGGAGAAGAATAAAGATGATTGGGTTAAAATACATGCATATGTATGGCAAGCAAAGGTGTGATGTCTTCAATGTATGAAAAACCCCTCTCTTGGACCAGTGATAAGGCATAGTATAATAAAAAGAATTATTATAATATTAACAATAATACTAACTTATTTATTGTTGTGTTATGCTGGGCACCCTTCTGAGGGCCTGGCATCTATTTGTATCCTCATAGTAATTCTTAGAGGGAGATGCTATTGTTATTCTATTTACAGATGATAAACCAGGCTCAGTGAGGTTAAGTAACTTGCTCATGCTTGCACATCTAGTTAAGCAGCTAGTAAACTGTGTGCTGTTTCTGAATGCATGGCTGTCTTTCTGACCCCAGAATGTGGTACTGATATCTCTCTTCCTATACACTATCCTATACTGGTTAACATAGACAAAAGACAAGAAAGGAAGGTTTTTTTAAAAAAAAGAAGAAATGAAATGACCCAAAAGCATGAAAAAATTTTCAGTTTCCTTAATGACGCAAATGAAAATTAAAATAAAAATAAAGTACTATTTCTCTTCTGAATAGAGCGAAGAGAGTAGGAAGCTTACAATGGAGCAGTGGTAGGACGGTATTTCTGGAGTGTGTCCCACTCTGCACACTGAGCCATGAGGCCCTCCTGACAGAGGCTTCATGTGACTGGGGGTCATGGCACCGGGCTGAGGCCAGAGGCTGTCCTGCTTGTGGCAGTAGGGAATTCCATGCCATTGTCTCAGTAACTCTTCGGGAAAACTGGAGAAGATGCAGCGTGCTCCACAGCCTGGTTTTTGAGCTTCAAGTGTACAGTTGGTTACATTCCTGTGGCTAAGATAGCATAGTGTGCAAGGCTGTCCTTTCTCAAAATGTATACATGCAGGGTCTGGTCAGTGATAACTGCATGTATATGTGGAAGGATGACTGAGGTTTTAGAGGCTTCTTTTTTAGAAAGTCTCTGAAGAGGTTGCCAGGCTTTTAGCTTTGATATGAAATTTTCAAATTATGCGTCTCTTGTAGCATTATGATATCTGAAAGAAATTTAATAAAGCTGTATTCAGTTGCCTCAACTGTTGACAAATGATTCTTGATGTTTAGTTTGGTACAGGATGCCGGGAATATAAGTCTACTTCCTTTATTCAAACTCAGTAAATGGTTTGGGACAATTAATTTCCAATTGTTTCCCAGTAGAGCAGATTTACTTGTATATTAATGAGGCACAGGTGTTAGGCCCCTGGTGTCTGCGTGCCTGGGAGGCATATTTCAGTTGTTTATCTACTCAGCCATAGGTACTGCAAGGTACTCAAGCTTGCCTTTAACAGTTTTTACAGTGAGGCTTTTTAATTTTTTGATTTTTTTTCAAATTTGCCTGCACCTGTTAAAATTTTAAAACTGATCATGTAGAAAGAAGTTGCAGAGATTTTAATAGTAAATAGCACTAAAAGTTATAGAAAGTCGTCTTCTGTTATATTTACCCGCCCAGCCTGACATAAAGGAGAAATGGGTTCATTTAAACAGATATTTCATGTGTCGAGCCAATGAAATCAACAATACACTCTTTTTTGCTGTGTATTTTTTGGAGCATGTATATCTTTGTCAATGGCTAAAGCAGTCATAAGCTTGTATTAATATTCATTTTTTATCTTGTCTATTCACTGAACTGCACTACCAACATTTTAGAGGGAATGGAATAGCCTCCATAGACATTATGAATTTCAGTAGCTGGCATAATTATAGCGATCTACATATTCATTAAATCTACAGAAGAACTCTGTCCAAAAAGACAGCCATGCGTTCAGAAACAGTGCACAACTAAATTTATACGTTTTAAAAGTTGCATTTCTTAGACTTATTTAAAATTAATTTCCTGTAGCACTTCTCTCCAAGCAGCAGAATTTTAACAAAAGGATCCCCATGCTTTGGTTTCTTGCATATAGGAAAGAATGGGAAGAACTATTTGTAAACAACAATTACTTGGCAACAATAAGGCAGAAGGGGATTAATGGGCAGCTGAGAAGCAGCAGGTTCCGCAGCATTTGCTGGAAGGTAAGAAGAAAATATTTATTTACAGTTTGTGGTTGCAGTATATCAACACATTACCTGATGCCCTGGAAGACTACCCATTCAGGGGATCACTGAATTTTCCAAGAGACTTGACTTTCAGTTTTTTGGCCATCCGTGTTTATCTTTCATAGGACATTTACTAATGAGGTTGAACCACCTTAGTTTTGAATAACTGGGGTGGTAAGGAGTGATTTGAAATAACTGTTTTTTCATCTCATTTGATGCTGCAGAATTCAAAGCAGCAACACCTTTACATTCCCCACAGGCTTTGCAGAGATCCCTGGTGCTGGGCAGAGCACAGGGGATTAACTTTCAGGCTCCTATTATATCTTGTGCTGTCTTTTAGTAATCCTCCCTTTTTTCTTCATAAATAGTGGATAGAAAAGAATTTTTATGTCTCCTTTACTGTAAACACAAAGTGTGGGGCAGCAAGAAGTGGAAGGAAATTGAGTTAATGTCTTTCCAAGAGAAAGGCCATTGGTTACCAAAACTGGTAATAATAATCTGCAATTTTCTTTTAATTGCTCGGAAATATTGTCCCTTTTTTTTAAAAAAAATAAATTAATTTAGGTTTAGTCTCATTTCTAAAATGACTTATATTGAAAGTTTTTTAGGGTAGATTTGCATGCATTGAGCATCCAGAGTCTACAAGTAAAGATAGTAAGAAACATGAGGTATTAGACAGTTTTAGATTTAATAATTTAGATTTAATAATTAAAATACATTTTTCTTCTGTGAGATGCAGGCATTAAAGGCAGGAGACCTGCTGATGGTATATTTGTATACAAATAGTTGTGCCTCACCCCCCTACCCCATTCTTTGTTGTTTAACTTTTAGTATCCTTCATTTGCTGAAAATAAACTCAAATCCAGATTTATTTTAATGTTGTATTAAGCTAAATTAAATCAGATTTGTCTTTTTAAGAATGCTTGTTATTTTTATAAGCAGATTGCTAGTTATAAATTAAATTTTCTACTGTGAAAGGAATGACTTCACTTCTCAGGCTGTGTCCTCAGATTGCTCTTCTCTGTCTTTTAACCGCTTCATTTAAGACAAATCTTAACCTTGAAATTACTAATTAGACCTTATGCCTGTTAATGTCCTCTCTTACCCCTAAACAGTACTTCTCCATTTCACTAGCATAACAATTCAGGACTGTAAAATCGGAATTATACTTGAACCTCAATGCATTCTTGTTCATTTTCAATATAAATTTGGAGAGAAGGTTGATTCCATTTTGTGGTAAAGCTTTTGGGATCTTCGTGGTTTTTCTGTGTTTTTGTTTTTTGGCCTTTGTTCACATTTTGAATTGTCCAAATATGTATTTCTTACATATACATATATATCTCCAAATATAATTTATCAAGAATTGTAATGATGATAGGAATGTGAAATACCAGGAGTATGAATACTTCAATTTTCAGGTGATTCTGCTTGTCATAGTTTCACATTTTACTTCTTATGATTTTTACAAAAGTTTCTTTTTTTTTCTTGACAGTTGTTTCTTTGTGTTCTTCCTCAAGATAAAAGTCAATGGATAAGTAAAAGTAAAGAATTAAGAGCATGGTATAGCAACATTAAAGAAATAGTGAGTTGTACTTTAATTAATATAATTGATTTCAAATATGTGCTTTAAAGTCCAGTGGCCTCTGATCTTTGTGTGTTTTCTTTCTTTACCAGCACATCACAAACCCAAGGAAGGTGGTTGGCCAGCAAGACTTGATGATCAACAATCCCCTTTCCCAGGATGAAGGGGTAAAGTTTGTCTTTAGTATGTTTATCAGACTGGTTATCAGTCACCATAAAAGCAGCTCCTTTTTTAACCACACATATTATCCCACCTAAAAACTGATGGAAACTATTTCATGCTGTATACGTACTGTGTTGTAGGAAGTGTATGATCTTTTCTGTGGAATGGCACTACAAAGAAGTCCCAAGGGAATCTGTAAGAATTAAGGACAAGATAGAAGAGCTTACGATGAGGATGGAACTGTTTTACCAATGATTGTAGTAGGGAGCAGGGAGGAAAACCTCCCTTTATGATAAAAATAAAGGAGGGTTCACTTGGTAGGACTAACTCACAGGAAGAAAGGACACTATTTGTACTGAGTCCAGGAAGAACTTTTTAATCAGGGAAAAGATTAGGCCTAGCTTCACTCATATTCTCAGGAAGAATAGGAATAATTACTACTTTACAGGTGTTGTATAACTTCTTTAATTACTGCTCTGCTCCAAATCCTAGTTCCCCTGATACCAGAAAAATTTTCCAGTTAATATGTAACATTAACATTTCTTTTCTCTGATACATATAATTATTATAATGTAGTCCATGGTATAGCAGCATAAAATACTGTTAATTTAAAACTTTACTAAAATTCACATTTTGAAAAGTACATAAAAATCTACAGAAGACCAAGCTTTGTAAAAAAAAACATTAGAAATCTTTCTTAGTGTATTGGGAATTCAGGTCAAGTTCATGTGGGGACCAGTTGGGCTGTGGCCCTGCTCTAATCCAAGCAGACCTTTTTGTTGTTGTCATGGGAAGTAGCAGGTATATAACAGTAAAAGTATCATTCACTTTATATAGGTAACAGAAAAAATTAAACATATACAGTAATATCACTGGAAAAATAAATGTTAGAATAAGGATATGTTTCTGAGAGTAAACTAGATTTTAATAAAAATCACTTTAATTTCAGGTTTCCCATCTGCAAAGTGAAATAACTCAGAGAAAGATAAATGTTATGATTTAAATTATTAAATTGAGATCATAAAAATCAAGCAAAGGTATGAAAACATTTTAAATAGATTGTTCTCCTTATTTCAGAGTCTTTGGAACAAATTTTTCCAAGATAAAGAACTTCGATCAATGATTGACCAGGATGTCACAAGGACGTATGTAGAACTATTTATAAATTACTTTCAATAACTCAAATTAGTGTTACCTTTTTGTATTTTAGCAAAATACAAAATCAATAGAGGAGCTTCTGTTAATAACAAAGTTATTTTGGCCAGATTTTGCTAATAACTATCATTTCCTATTCTTAAAATACAGATTTCTGTGTGCCCTTTTTCAAAATAAATTATTGTATTTATAATATGATACTCTTAAAATAATATTTAATCATTTTTCAATTTCCAATATTTATTTGGAGTCATGCACTATAATTAAGGTTATATTATGTATTCATAATATTTTGTATCGTTAGATTTATCTTTTGCTTTACACCTCTGAATTCCTTTTTAGCCAAATTACTTTTAAAATGACAACTATTAATTTTACCCTCCTTATTTCTCTTCATTTTGAAGCCATTGAGGTTTGCAAACAACCTCTTCTCTCAGTCTACTCAATATTTACCATGTGAAAAAGTAGTTTCTTATTTAGCATATAGTCAATATCCATAACTTTTTATACATTGACTTCATCTTTCTGAGTTGAGTAGTGAGAAGTACATGGAATTCGTGTAGGAAGAGCCTAGAGTAAGTTCTAGCAACGTATGCTATAATCTTGGGCAAATTACTTTCAATGAATGTCTTTCTCCTCTGTGTCCTTTTCTATAAAAGGGGGATGACAGTAATCACCTCACAGTATTTTTATAGATGAATGAGTATATGTTGTAATAGTTATAAATGAATATGTTTATACTTTAAATTATAAATAATCACATACATGTTAATAAATTTGAATTAATCATGGGGGTCTAGGGTGAGCCTTGTGTATGCAAAGTCATATGCCTCTGGTGCCTTCTTCGGAGGCCTTATGTAGCTTTGCCTATCCGCCTACTCTTAGTTCAACTGCCTCCCATTAGATCTATTACAGTGTCAAGGCCCCTGGCTCTCTGATGTTCCTCTCTTTCCAGGTCCAAGCATGGAAAATCAGATGGCATGGGCTACTGTTAAGGTTATTCAACATATTTAACACATGAAGTTTGTTTTAAAATGAAAATAATTGAGAGGAATCATGAGTTCAGAGTACAACAAAATCTTATAAAATTGGCAAGAGTAATATGGGGACGGGAGGTATGGAATCATTTTGATGAGCTGAGTTATCCCGTTACCAGGAGTAACCAGTTACAGGGAAGCTACTCTCAGAGGTGTGCGATGGTAGTGCTTGATGTCCCCAGTATCTATGTCAGAAAGTAAAACGCCATTGTGTTGGTGCACAGGAGGCACTCAATTAATGCTTATTGAATAAAACAAAAAGAATAAATTTCCTCATCAGTTATTTAAGACACTAGGTCATCAATGGCAGTAAAACACACCTCTAAAAACAAAATTCAAGGTATATATTGCTAACCAAGCAGTAAAAGCATCTCTTTTTCAAGAATTGTGAGGCAGTTATCTTAGAGAACTTGACAACTGCAGCTTGAAGTGGCTAATAAGGATGATAATCTATCTCTCTCATTAGATGGAAATGGAGGAACCATGTCACTGGGCAGAGGCACACACTCAGGGGCCACACGGGCACATTGGTTAAAAGAAGTAGCAAACAAGAGAAGGGGAAGGTAAAACTCAGATAGCCAAGTCAAGGGGGAAGTGGCACTGGAGGCCTATTCGTCATTTTGGTTACTTAGCTCAAACATTTTTGCTTTCCTGTGTTAGAAAGTGTTATTTTTTGAAAGCAGTATTCTTGTAACTATTTAGTTTCATATTTTCTATGCATTTTTCTTATAAAAATGTGTGTGTGTGTGTGTGTGTGTGTGTGTATGTCTCACATATATGGCTAATTGTTTTCCTTACAACTTGCTTCCACTGGTACATTTTAATTAAGGTAGCAAACCCAAGGTTCAGAGAAACCCTGTAGTTCATTGCATAGGTGGAGGAGGTTGCATATGTTCTCTCCCAGAAGGCTCTCCTATGGCCCTGTCCACATTTAGAGTAAGTTTCCTTGCCATCTCTCTATACATTTTGTGGCAAGTAACAGCTTGTAGGGTAAGACTGACATTCTTATTTTAAAGCCACCAAACTGCTTAATCAAAACTGAATAGCTTGAATACTTTTACTACTTTAGATAATACAGTCTCTTTATAAGGCACTACGTGATCTAAAATCCATGATTTCAATCCCATCTGTAAGGCAGCTCATGATATAATAGGAGAAGAAAGGAAGTACAGCTCAGTGAATGTTACACAGGGTCTATTTATTGTCTACTCTGTTCCAGGCTGATCCTTTGCAATGTGAGGACAGAGTGGTGCACAAGACAGACAAGGTCTTGCTATCACAGAATGTACATTTCAGTGTAGGGGGTTGGCGGGGGTGACATCATAAGCATGTATAGATAAAGAGTGTAACTATAGAGGGTGGTAATTGCTGTGAAAAGATAAAGACAGGTAATGGAATAGCTAGAGTAGATGGCCACTTTAGGACTAGTGACCAGAAAAGGCATCTTTGAGAAGATGACATTTGAGGTGAGATGTGAAAAATTTTTTATAGCCAGTCATGTGAAGACCTAGGGGAAGAACATTCCAGGCAGAGGAAATGTCCCTCAGTTAAAATTCACACAAGCTCAGTATTTAGAGGAACAAAGGGAAGGCAGGTATGGCTGGAAGAAAGCAATTTAAGTAGGGAAATTGAGAGGAGGTCAAATGCCAGACAAGCAGTCCTACAGACCACAGTAGGGAGTTTGGATTTTATTCTAATTGCAACGGGAAGCCATTAGAGGGTAGTGACCAGGGGTGTGATATCTAATAAGGTAATTCTGGCTGCTCTGATAGTGGGGTGAAGGTGAAGGTAGAAATGACTCTTTTGCAGTATTTCAAGTTAAGCAATGTTAGTGACAAACTAAAGAAGGTTAAGAATAGATAGATTGAGGATATACATTTTATATTTTTAAAACAAATTGGGGAGTCATTATACATAGTTTTCTCACATCACCTATGCTCCATTTGTACTGCTGTTTCAGGTTCTTTTTACCTCCTACCTTGAGTCTCTTGTTTAATTGTCCTCTTGGATCTATTATTACCTGTCTCTTCTGGTACTATCCACGTGTAACAGCCCTATTTTCTCAAAGCACATTTCTAGTTACAATACTTGCTTAATCTTGAACTTTTATGACTCTCTGTGGTCTTCAGAAGAATGGGCTTGCTTAACACACACAGCTCCCTTTTAGGGTTTCCATTTATCTTTCTGTTATTGATTTCTAGTTTAATTCCATTGTGGTCTCAGAGCAGACATTGTATGATTTCCATTCTGTCAAATATGTTAAGTTGTGTTTTATGGTCCAGGATGTGGTCTGTGTTGTGACTATTCCATGTAAACTTGAGAAGAATGTGTATTCAGCTGTTGTTTGATATAGTGTATAGATGTCAATTATATCCAGTTGATTGATGATGTTGTTGAGTTCAACTATGTCCTTTCTGATTTTCTGCCTGCCAGATCTGTTTAGTTCTAACTGTGGGGTGTTGAAATTGCCAACCATGTTAGAGGATTCTCTCACTTCTCTTTGTAATTTTAGCAGTATTTTCCCTTAAATAGTTTGATGCTCTTTGCTTAGGCTCATTTATAATGATTATTGTGTCTTCTTAGAGAAGTGACCCCTTTATTATTATGTAATGCACCTTTTTATCTTTTAATTTGTGTTAGCATGGTATGTTCTTCATTCATTTATTTTCAATGTGCAATACATGAGTCTCTGTATTTAAGGTGGGTTTCTTATAGCCAACACAGAGTCAGGTCTTGTTTTTTTTGATTCGTGCTTACAATCTCTGTCTTTAATTGGTATATTTAGACCATTGATGTTCAAAGTGATTGTAGATGTAGCTGAATTACTATCAATTATATGTTATTGTTTTCTATATTGTTACTCTTGTTCTTTGTTCCAGTTTTTGTCTTCTATTCTTTTTCTGCCTTTCATTGTATAAATTGAGCATTTTATATTATCTAAAATATTTTTATTATATTTTTTCTTAACATATTGGTTGTATTTCTTTTTTAACTTTGGTGGTTGCCATAGAATTTGCAATATGCATTTCAACTAATCCAAATCTACTTTCAAAAAACACTATACCACTTCACAGATAGTGCATGTACCTTATAATAACAAAATAATTCTAATTCCTCCTTCCTGTTTCTTTATCATTTCTGTCAATTTTTCACTGATACATAAACATATGTAAGCATATATATACACACCCATATGTATGTATGTGTATATACACACACACAAACTACATAGTTGAATACACTGTTGGTGTTATTATTTTGATCAATTTATGTTAATTAAAAATTAGGAAAATCAATGTTTTTATTTTACTTTTACTTAAATACTCCTTATGTTCCTCCTTTATGTAGATCTGAACTTCCGACCTATGTTATTTTTCTTTTCACTGAAGAACTTTTAAATAATTTCTTGTTAGGTAGGTCTACTGGTAACAAATTCTCTATTTTGGTCTTTTTCACGACTATTTTTTTTCTACTTTTCAAAAGATAATTTCACAGGAACAGAATTCTAGGGGTTTTTTTCCTCTAAACATTTTAAATATTTCACTCCATTTTCTTCTTGCTTACATGGTTTTTGAGAAGTTGGATGTAATTTGTATCTTTTGATATGGGTAAGAGTTTTTTCTCTTCTTTAAAAGCTTTTTCTTATTTTTTATTTATTTATTTAATTAACTAATTTGTAGTTTGAAAATATCATGCCTGGGTGTAGTTCTTTTGGCCTTTATTTGGCATGGTTTTCTCTGAGCTTCCTGGATCTGTGGTTTGGGAATTTGGGGAATTTCCTAGTCATTATTGTTTCAAATATTTATTATTCCTTAATATCTTTCTTCTCCTTTTGATATTCCCATTATGTGCATGTTACACCTGTTATAATTGTCCCACAGTCCTTGGATTTTCTGTTCTTTTTTTTGTTTTGTTTTTAGTCATTGTTCTCTTTGCCTTTTAGTATCCAAGGA